AAATAAAATATTATGGCCAATATTAAATTGTGAGCTTTACATGAGTTATTGATTTAATGATACACAAAAGAAGCCTGACTACAAAAAGGTTAGTGCCACTTTTGCAAAAATGCCTTGTCATTCTGTTGCRCAAGTCCTTACCTTTTCACCTCAATAGCTCCAGACTTAGCTGATTTATTGCTAGGTTTGATCTTTTATGCAGTGCTTGAAGTTGATGTGTTGGTATACTGTCACAAAAAGATTTCCTTTGTCGTTGGGGCACACCTGTGGTCTGAACAGTATATGTGAATGACACGTGGCGTGGCCACACCAGCAGATAACAGCAGTGCCGTGGGTTAGATGAAACCAAGTTATACATTCATTTGTTCGAATCACTCATTTACCATGTTTTGAGAACTTCATGTAACAAACTGTGACAATACTGTGGAAGAATTTCCTTCAAGGGATTAATTAATACTTTTTTCTATTTTCACGTTGTTTTCAGATGGCAAACGAAGCCAACCCCTGCCCCTGTGACATCGGAGATCGGTCTGACTATGGAGGGCTCGGCCAGGAGGTCCAAATTGAGCACATCAAAGCATACGTAGTAAAACCCTCCACTGCGTCYGACAAGGCTGTTGTTGTCATCCAAGACATCTTTGGATGGGAGCTTCCCAACACTCGATACATGGCTGATATGCTGGCTGCCAACGGATACACGTGTGTAAAGATCTGCCATTTGTAAAAATGCAGCCCAGTAATGTGGTTTGGTCTGTAATTTGAGCGGTTTTTCTGTCGTTTTGCTCCGAGCAGGGCCGTTTGCCCGGATTTCTTTGTCGGGAAGGAGGCGTGGAGTCCAACTAAAGACTGGTCAGGCTTTCAAGAGTGGCTTAAAGACAAGAACCCAACAAACATTAACAAGTAACTAGAAAATGTGGATTCTCTGTGACGATGCAGCGGGTTCTGAGCGTTGAACGATTAGCAAAAGGGTGGCTTGAAGCTAAAAGTTGCAAAAAGCTAGCGAAGACCTAAAAGTAGCAYGGGACAGAGWGCACTGACACAGACTTCAAAGAGAKGACTTTTAAAGGAATTAACAAGATCCTAATGGGTGCAAGTTGCATCTTTTAAAATTACATTTTGATGCCATGACTAAACTAGCAAAATGTGCAGAGGTAGTTAGGTTGGATTTATAAACTTTACTTTTTAAAAAATTTCCATTACAGAGAGGTTGACGCCGTGCTGAAGTATCTGAAACAGCAGTGTGGAGCCAAACACATTGGAACAGTGGGGTTTTGTTGGGGAGGTGTGGCCACACACTACCTGTCSTTGCAATATCCAGAACTGAAGGCTGGAGTGTCTCTTTACGGTGAGCCGTTATAACGGTGTAAAAAACAAACCAACAAAAAAAAAAACGTACGCAGCAAACCGTTTCTAATGGAGTTTGATACTGTACAGGAATAGTCCGCGAAAGAGAGGACCGATACGAGCTGAAGAGCCCGACGCTGTTCATCTTCGCAGAGAACGATTCTGTGATCCCTCTGGACCAGGTTATTGTCATTTTAAGAGTTTTGAYATGTGGAAGATGTGGTCAGCATCTAAAAATACTTTTTGCWTATTAGGTCAGTGCCCTGGAAGCAAACCTGAAGGAGAAATGCACCGTGGACTTCCAGGTGAAAATATTTCCAGGACAGACCCACGGCTTTGTCCACCGCAAGAGGGAGGACATCAACCCCGACGACAAGCCCCAGATCCAGGAGGCCAGAACAGACATGCTTAACTGGCTCAACAAGTACATATGAAATAAAGGGCGAAGCAGTAAAAGTCTGCTAAACGTTGTACTAGTATATCAATTATACTACATTAATCAAAGGATGCCTTTTGRAAAGTTGTATTGTTGATTGACATTCCAGTTTTGTTTGAAGAAAACAACGTATTTTTAACATAAATTATGTTTTAGCTGTAAAATTAAATGAAGTGAAAGACATTTTCTTCAGGCCATAGTTGATTAAATGTGGCAGCCGTTTTCAAATGATTAACTTAAAGACAATTGGTGTCTAAACATCTGATGTGATTAAAAAATGATTAAATTAGGAACTGAATACAATAAAACGRAAGATTTTTGAAACTTCAGCTGACCAACGTTTTATTGATGACTTTGCTACTAACAGAACTTGTACATGTTTGTATCAAATGATAAATAGCATTACGCAGTGCGGTTTGGACATGGAGCAGGAGGCCAAAGCCCTCTAGAGCAGCTTAGGGGTTCAGGCAGCAGCAGGGGGCGCTCTTCAGTCCTCGCTCTCTCCTGGGTTTCGGATGTCATCTATCTTGAGGATCATTTTGACCACCTGGGTAGCCAGCAGGATCTGCTGTTTCTTGCCAATCAGGGTTTCGATCACATGTTGCTGCTTCATGTCTGTACAGGAGCAAACAAAGACCTAATGTATCATCTTTTTTTTTAAACAAAGTGCAGGACTGTGATTTGGTGGATTATGTTATGTCGACACATTTGAGTTCAAAACATTGCAGCAGATTTAATGTTTTTTTTTTTTTTTACCGTTGGTGTTTTTCTGTAGACAGTCAATGCCAAGGAAGGGGTTGTTCTCTCTGACTTGTTTGGCTCGGACCTCTGTCATGGTCTGGATGGGGTTCAGCCCGCTGTTCTCAGCCAGTGCCATGGGGATGACCTCTAGAGCGTCYGCAAACGCCCTCATGGCGTACTGCTCCAATGATGGACACTGGCAAAGAGAAGTTGTAAGGTTGATCAAMAGATTTTAAAAAGTTTCTTTGTTGTTTTGAATRAAGTGTTTTCAAGTTCTCACCTTATCTGCAGCCTGGTTCACAGCCAGGGCGCACGCAATCTCYGAGGCTCCGCCTCCGTACACAACACGGTTGTCTCTGACCAGATTACGAATTACGCACAGAGCATCATGGAGAGCGCGCTTAGCCTCTTCGATGATCTGATTAGGAAAATTTAAAGGATGGACTTGATCATCATCAGGGCTCATGCATGTTTCAGTAAGTTAAATTTAAGACCTYTTAAAGACCTTSTAAGACCATTAGGAATATATTTAAGACCAAACCGTCGCATTAACAAAAACATTCAAATGGTCCCAGAAATGTTAACAGATAAACCTTTTATTGCTATCAACTTAGCTATGAAAGATTATTTAATACAAGAACACCGAATTATTTTAATGTAACAATCATATCTATGAGACCTTCACCTCAACTGCTGTGGACCACTTCCAAATGAGTGCAAAAATCACTGATTCTTGCCTGCAGTTATCACAGGATTTCTAATTTAATCCCTACAAAGACTGGTTGCAAACTAAGCACTTCAGGAAGACMGATCACACCAACCTCTGATTACTTTGCTTTACACTATTTATGCAGCCAACGCTTCTCGGGAATGATTAAAAGTAAAAACAATTAGGACTTGACATATGAATATTTAAGACTTTGGATGAAAATCTGGGTGTTTTAAAAAAAAATTTAGGCCTAAAATTTTCATTTTTTTTAGACTTTTTAAGACCCTGCACCAACCCTGAATCATGCTCCAGAATAAATGAGTGGCTTCAGCAGAGGTCTGTAGAAGCTTACCATTTTGTTACCCCCACGGATGAAAATGGTCACAGCCCTGGTGTTCTTGCACTCCTGAATAACCAACATACGATCTTTGGTTGTACCAAATGAGATCTCCTTCACCACGCCAGCCGTGCCAAGCTTCTCTGTTGTGAGCTCACAGAACCTCGGCACGATTCGGCCTCCTGTGGCTATGGCTATCAACTGCAGGGAAATTACATAAAATTGGTAAGTTTTTAAAATCAGCCAAAGTATCTTTCAGTACAATCTTATGAAATGATAAACTAAAAGTGATGAATAAAGGAATAAATAAATAATAAAAAAAATCATCTCTTACCTCAATTTCAGGCCCTCCAACCCAGCGAATGGCAGGCAGCTCATTCTGCAGCAGAAGGTGGTTTGCCTCATCATCAAAGCCCCACTGGCAGATGGCCAAGTTAGCACCGGTGCTTTTGACCTTAAATTAAAACACGTTTTATTTTGATGTTTTAAACTACAAAACCCAACAAGAACGAGTACCAACCTGCTGGATCATCTCCTCAAACTTTTCTTTTTCGTATTTCTGGAGGGCTTTGTAGTCCTCAACTGAGGTCACATCCAACTTATGCTTGGTCTTGGGTTTAGGGGGCTCAAACGGGCAGGTTAGAATAGCCAGTTTAGCATCCTTAAGGACCTGTTTAAATGCAAATGGAAATAAGTTAGCCCAGTTTAGGGCTGCATGATATTAGGAAAACCTGCGATGTGCGGTAACTGCTTAAAATTTCAATGATGATATGACGTGCGATAAATAGGGATGTCTCGATCCAGATTTTTTGGCTCCCGATACAATCCGATTTAATGATTAGTCTTTCCAATACAGATCCAATAGCTTTATTTTTTTCTTTCCAAGTGACAAGGTTGGTAGTATTAAAGTGAGCCCTGCTGTTCCCACCACGAGAAATTTCCAGTTTGCAGATTTTGCAAGATGCAGTTTCAGCATCATTGTTTTCCATTAAAAAGTCTTCCCACACTGTGGACATGGTTCTAGGGTTGGGCGATATTGGCAAAAAAATTAATCACGATTAATTGTGGTATTTAGCSGATAACGATTAATTTGACGATTAATCTCCTGGAGTCCCTGGACACCCTTATGTCCTAGTCAAATGACCAATTTAGTGGGAAATATTTGCTCTTCATAAAAATCTGTTCCAAATTGTCAAAATTAAAGACTTCGGGCTATACATCAAATTTTAAATTGTGTTGATAGATAAATAAAATTACAGAATTTTTTTTAAATGTTCGTCATATTTGAAGCGGAGAGGAGCATTGAGCAGACCAACCAGGGAAATATCCAGTCAATCTGCCTGGTGGCATTAATCGTATTAATTGTCAAGTGCCAAAAAATAAACCGATTAATGTTTTTCTGACGATTAACTGCACACGATACGATTATGCCCAACCCTATTGCACACTTGTGTGCGTCTTGACTTCTTAATGGCAGTTGTAAAGCATGATGATGCTGAAAACTGGATTGGCCCGTTCACATGACTAAATCCGATTCTATCCGATTTTCAAAAAATGGGCGTTATCTGCCACCAATACCGATACTGACTATCTGATTGGGACATCCCTAGAGATAAATGATAAATGGACAAATATACAAGTGTTTGTGTCTTTCTGCTTTGGGTTCAGAGCAAAAAAACAACTAATCATTTTTATTCCAGAATGATTTTTTTTAAAATACGAAGAGATCCATCCAATTGGCCAAATACACAAAGGGCTCAATTTGACTGATGAAATACTTCAAGTTCCATCTGAGTGACAAAGTGCATAAATGCAAACTTTTGAGCCAAAGATTTATTGCAGTTTTTTGCGATATGCATACTGCCCAGCCTGTTATCGCGATGATGAAAATAAAGTTTTGATATAATGTGCAGCTCTAGCCCTGTTATGGATAGTATTGTATAATGTACCTCAAAGTSATACTTGAGTAAAAGTACAATCATCATAAAATTGCTTTGGTAAAAGTTAAAATCTCCACTAAGAATATTTATTTAGTGAAAATCATAAAGTATCTGATATTTTCGTACTTAAGTATTAACTAAACCATTTTTAAATCACAGATTAAAACTCTTCTCTTTAAACACCTTATTCAGTTTAATCACCATCTCCCATTAACCCTATTTTTGTAGGATGTTTGGTTTTATACAATGTTTTTATTTGTTAATTGTTATGTAGGCTATTATGTTTTAATGTTAATTTATTCTGTGCTTTATTCTTTTTTGTTTTATTGCATTGTATTTAAATTGTACTGTGTCCTTGAGTGGTATGAAAGGGCCTTCAAATAAAATGTAATAAAAGTAAAAGTATTGCGTACAAATGAGCCGTTAGATTTTCCAAAATACATTTATTGGTAGGTGCTCTCCAAAAAATGTTGTTTTATAAAGACGTGCAGCTGTGATGGATTGTGTACAAACTAATATGGTATCAGAATAGTATATATTTATACTTCGTCAACAATATCTTTGTGTTTTTTCTTTTTTCTTAATTACAATTCAAGAAGATAGGTTGTCATTGTTTTCATTATGTAACTTTGATTTATAAAATGATAACTTTTAGTTAAAAGAAAATATTAAATAAAGAACATTATTATTGTTTATTATCTTGATTAAAGAAAATAAAATGTCTCTTTTGAGGGAGGTCTTCTGAGACCAGGTTCAAAGACAGTTGGAAATGTTTATTCCCGCTCATCCAAACAATTAAATTCACTCTATCCTGGAGGCAGAATTTATTAGGATAGATTTTTTTAAACAATAACAAGCCGAAATGAAAACGGAGAAACGACTTTGTACTTTTTTAAAAAACAGTAAAGCCCCCCCACATACTCGGGCGTACTTCRCTCTGCGGAGGTCAGCGTGGACTCGAGGCGGACTTGAAGCGGCTCATGGAACGCGCAGAGTACGCCCGAGCAAGTGGGAGCCTTAAGTAATAGAAGTAAAAAAGTCGGCTGAAAAAATAATTACTCAAGCGAAGTACAAATAACCAAAATTTCTACTTTACAACTCTGGTTATGGTAAACGTGCATGTAACATTTACCTTTCAACACGTTAACTGATCAAAAAGTTTAAAGKGACATTTTAAGAAGATTCTTTAATCATACCTTTGGCATCTGAGGGTGGCTGAACTCCTTGTCAACGATGACTCCTTTGATGAGCTGTGTGTCCTCCAGCTTCCCTCCCACTTTGCCCTCCACCTTGATGAGCTCAAAGTCCACATCCTTCCTGTCCATGTCAGCCACAGTGAGGATGGCATTCACTGCGATCTCTGCCATCTGTCTGTGGCACCGGTTGATGCTAGAAAACAGCAGTTTTAAAATCTTTAAGAAAGTTTCTCTAAACCTTGAGCACTAAAAGTTGCAGTAGTGTACATTTAATGTTTTACTCAAAGTTATAAATACCAGCTTAGTGAAATGTGTGCACACGTTTAGGTAGTGAGCATACATGACAGTTCTTAAAAGGGATCCACGATTAGTTTTAACATTAGATTTTATTTAATAAACATATATTTTAACTAAAATAAAGACTGTAAAAATACTGTAGGCTGTTG